ATTTAGGGTGAAAATTGTAGATCAAAAACAGTATAGGATTTCATATTGAATTTGAAAACAATATATAAAGTCCATCTACAAATTAACTCGACTAAAAACCGATCAAACTTTTAAAATTTTTTAGTTTCATTAGATTAGAAACAGCATGAAATATTCATAGCTGCTCAATTATTTTACTAAAAAGTTATTTAGACTTAAAACCGATCAAAAATAATGTGAATAGTAGATCAAATACAGATGAAAATGTTTTTAAAAGTTCAAATACAGATCAATAAGTTCAAATGCAGATCATTTAGCTTAAAATCAGTTTAAATTTTTCGACCCGGGATATTTTTTGAATACTAAGAAATGATTTCTTAAATACAGAGAAATCTTCTTAAATGCTGAGAAATCCTTCTATCAGTGTGTTCATATCATTTAGTCAGAAAATTCATATATTAAATTGTTCATATAAATAAATTCTTGAGTCAACAAATCCTTGCAGATCAAAAAAATTTCTAAAGAAATCTACTTAAAAATTGTCATATGCTTTAAAGCAAATAAAATTTTTTGAGCCGAGTTTTCTATTATCTGTAGTTGTAAATGTGTGCAGATCGCAAGCTACATATGATAACGATACCTCATGAGTGGGTGTGTTTGGCTTGTTGGGTGGTTGGTTGCGAGACAGCTTGGAGATGTAATACGTCAGGAAAGTTTTAAGCTGAAAAGCCACTTTTGAATGACGGATATAAGTTTTTAAATTTTTTTGTTTGTAGTGTTTTGTCTTGTTTGTAAGCCGCAAGTTTCTAAATCCGGATTATCAGAAATAGAACTGAGAGATAATAATTGAATTAACTTTTGTGTGGTATAAGCAGAGTTTTTAGAGGAATTGAGGGGAATAGTTTCTGTTTGTGGGATGTGGACAAAAAAGATATCGACGCGCGAAGTAATTTATAGAGGGAACGGGAAGGAATAGGGAGCGACATCTGCATTGCCGAATTTTCGAAATAGTTTCCTGCACCGCGACAAAAATTATGTGGGTAAAGATTTTGTAGTGGACGGAAACTTAATTAAGGATATTTGAAATTTTTATTTGAATTTAGCGATCTTTGGCATCTTTGCTTGGATTTTAATTAAAGAATTTATTTAATTAAATTAGACCGAGTTTGTTAGGTGGTGGGTTTTTTGTTTGTGGAGAAGTTTTATTACAAACTCTTTTGGAGAGTTAATGAGGTTATTAGAGACAGTATTCTTTTAATCATATATCATGATTATTATAAAATAAACAAATAAACTCCTTAATTCTTAGATGATATAAATTGTATTAATTAATAAAATTATTTTATATAATTTTTAATGTAGCAAATTATTGCTAAATAAAAACATTATTATGATTATATATCATTACTAGCAACCTGCAGGTAAAATGTAACTGTGAAGAATTACGAATTGTTACCCTAATTGTTACCCTAATATCAAAAATCATAATAAAATATCTGTAAGGTAAAAGACCCCATTAGTGGCACCTTTAACCCCTATTAGTGGCACTTTTTCTTTCAATGAAAAAATGTTCTACTTGGAAGAAAAATTAAAAATTTTTTTGATCTAAAAGTCTTAAAGATAAGAAAAAATATATTCATTATTGAAATTAATGATTTCATTAATTGAATAAGTACCAAAATTAAAAAAAGTGTCAGTAATGGGGTCCCCGCCCCTAATGGGGTCTTTTACCCTATACAGATTTTTACAATTCTTGGACCAGAAACTTAAGGCAGATCATTCTTCAAGAATCGTCGAAGACTCACTACAGATATTTGTCCAAGATTCTTGGGCAAAACTGGGGCCAGAATTCGTCTAGAAAATGGTCAGATATGGTGGGGCTCCTCACCACCACTTTTTGAGACTCAGTTGCGAAGGCAGAAGTTCTGATTTCAGTACAATAATAGTGGGTACTGTTAGACTTCATCTTCAACGATCTGGACAAATCCTGGCTACAGACTTGTCACTAAACTTGACCAAGTATTGCTCCACATTCTGTTTTAATATCTAGTCTAAGTCTGTCGCCAGTCTGGACAAATAATCTTGGTTAATTGTCTGGCTCAAGAATTCTATTTTCAGGGCTTGATCAACTATCTGGCCAAAGAATCTTCTCCAAAACCAATAATGTTACTAGGGTAACCATATTGAGTAGAAATATACAATAAGACTTCTATTGGTCCCGTTACTATATAATTTTCGATAAATTTGCATTCGTTACTATTGTTGTGTACAGTACTATATTATTTGCACGATTAACTCTAACCTGCAGTAAATATAGTGGAGAACAAAACACTAATGTTATCTTAAACTATTTTATTGTACCGGCGTCTAGAGACGCAACAATAGTAACAATGAAAACGTTGTTAATTAACTGACTTCTTTTATTTTACTTTAGAACGGAAATGAATGACGAATTTGTGAAAAATAAATTATAAATATTTAAAATTTTTAAAGCTTGATAAGCTCGACATTATTTAAATCATTACTTGATTACAGGGTTTTCAAATTGATAACCTTCAAACTAACAAATTTGTTGTATTTTATGAAAAATTACAGTTTCAAACAGTAAAAATTGCCATTTCAATATGTAATCCATATTATGAAGAGAAGGGTAACTCAGATGAAAAAGAAGGGGGTCTCACTCTGGGAGAATTTAACATTTGAAACAGTAAAAATTATACTTTTAAAATATACATTTTACCAGTCCAAACAAGTCAATAATTACAGTTTGATTTTTAGCGTTGCGTTTAAAATTTACCATTTTACTTTGTAAATATTGACGTTGCTTGTATTAGAAATTTACTAACTTTATTTTATACTTTTTATATATCATAAGATCATTTTTTAGGTACGAAATGATAAATATCAAAGTCTGAATTTTTAATTATTATACTTAAACATTTTAGACATTTACATCGCGAATATTACTGTTTGAAATAGTATTTTCTTCCATGTAAAGAGTAAATTGTAACGTTTAAATGGTAAATATTATAAAGTGAATAATAAAATCACGATTTAACTGTTTGAAATGATAATTTTTAGCAGTTGATCATTACTTATTATAAATTGACTGTTATTTATTACAGTTTACTTTTTTCCGTGTGCATCAGCCGTAATTTATTATGACGTAATTTTTACTAGTTATAGTAGTAAATAATCAAAGTTTATGTTATATATTACTAGTCTAATATTAAATTTCTATAATTCCAGCATCGAGACACCCAAGAAACCCTGACGGTTCTCGACAGACTGGACCTGGACACGGAGAAGCCCAGTGACGAGGAACTGGCCCGAAAATTCGGGTTCGAGGAGGCCTACTACGAAAACCGTCTGACGTGGTGGCAGAAGCTCAAGCCTAAAATCTGGTCACTGTTCGACGAACCCTACTCCTCGAACGCAGCCAAGGTCGGTAATACAACGACTGACAAAGTAACCTTACCATTAATAATAAAAATAATAATAATACGAACTAAAATGCATGGCATTAATGTAACCTAACAGTAGTAGCCATAAAACCGCTACAGCGCGCTCATTCTGTGGCCTCATTTTCGCCCGAGGTTGGAAATCCTCAGTAGTCCCCAGCACAGCTCAGTCTCCATTCCACAGCTTTTATTTCATTTCATTCCGTTTCATTTTATCTCAGTCTCATTTTGTGCTATTAACTTGACGCGTATGTAAATATTCCGGGTTTTAATACATAAATTAATTAACTGCGTACTAATTTGTTGAATGTATTTACCAACAGTTAACGTATAGCAGTAACTGCCTTTATTAATTAAATATAAATACTTTTTTAATTATTTATCAATAATATATTTATTTATCATTTAAATTAAAGTCACTACAGATATTTACTTTTAATAAAATTTATCTATCTTTTGTACAAAACGTATCTATAAATATTAATATTTCGCTGTACATGTGTAATTTGTAGTCGGCTGAACACGTTTAATCATCGATTGAAATGTCCGGATGCGCTAGATTATTTTCACAGATAAACACCGTTTTCATTATCTCTCGGCTTTATCTATTGATTTTCAGTTACACTGTGTCCTTATTTTATATTTATATTTTAATATATATTTTTATTTTGTACTCTTACTTTGTTGAGCTCTGTTACAGCTTCAGTAAACTTTTTATTAAAATAACTTTAAAATATAAAATTGAGTTGTTAGGTACTGATCTACTTTTTCAAGAGAATTCAATTTAATTTTATTAAATATTTTTTTAAAGTCGTTCGGGTACTTTATCGTAAGAGTTTAATGAGTTTTCTATGAAGAAGTTTAAAATTTTAAATTACGGCTAAAGTTGTCGACCCGGATATGGACACCTTGAATACTGATGGTAATTTTTAGTGTCAACATTTCATTAAAATTTTAGCCTTCTTTAGAAAATCATTCTTGTGAAAAAAAATTTTTTTTCTCTCTAATGAATTCGCTGTTAATTTGAATCGATAAGTTGTTTACCATTTGATTGATAGTTTAATTAGAATAGTTTAAAGTCACGAACAATTTATGAGAATTCAAGTTGCATTCTACTCGATACTTTGATTAATCCTTCGTACAAAAACAGATTACCGATCAATATCCGATTACATCAACAGTGTAGTGTGTCAAACGATAGTTTCGCTTGAAATTAAACTCCCGAAAAAATAACTTTCGTTAAAATTTTTTATTAGAAAATTTACCTTCAACATTGTCTCTGAAATAAATTTTGGATGGAAATACTTTACAATTCTCCCGAGATTTTAGTGCCAGATAAATTTTTCGTAACAACATTATGATTTCAAGATTTAAAATTGAGATTCCATAAAAATAACTCTGCTTTATAGAATGAAGTAATTTTTGCAATAAAATTGTCTCGACATTTTTATCGTACGAACGATAGTTTCAGAATTTCAATTTGAGAAATTTCTCGCATAGAAAAAAAATTAATGGCCCCCGGTGTGTTATAAATAATTCAGTAAGAAAATTTCTTCTACCTTACGCGTGAAACTTGGGTAATAAATTTTTAAATGTAAATAAAAAAAAACATGTACTATATTAAATTGCAATTTTTTATTTATTAACAAGTTTATGTATAAATCTTTCCAGAGTAATTTTTTTTTTTATTTTCAAATTTAAGAACAGTGTATGAAAACATTTTAAAGAATTTGTTTGTATTTATTTTTATCAAGTGCATAATTATAATTAAAAAAATGGCCAGCGGTCCAACTAGAAGTGACTTTCTACATGACAAGAAGTTTACTTTTAAAATTGTGCAAACTCTATTACCGTTTTTTAAACAAAAATTATGAAAATTAGTTTATCATACGACCAACTTCACTAAAACTTTACAATAAACTCCGGTGAAATTTGTTAGAAGAACTTCAAAAACTATTTTAGTTACTAACAAACAGCATAACCGAGTGATGAAGCTCCGCAATTGCACATTCTTGTAATTTTTCTGACGAATTTAATATTAAATTCCAAAAAAAAAATTTCTTTTCATGTTAGATTTCAAAACGTGGGAATTTGATAAAAAAATTCTTTAAATTGGGCAAAAATAAACTTCATACTTTTAAAATCATCAATTTTTAAATCCAATAATCAAAAAATTCTAACAAGAGCGATTCTTTAACGGAGAATAATTTCCTAAAGAAGAATAAAATATTTATAAAATGTTGACACTAAAAATTAACATAGGGAAAGGTGGCCTAAAGCGGGTTGTTAACGAGAAGAGCCGAGAAAATTTAGTATTTGCATGATAACAATAATGATTTTTTTTTTTTTTTTGATAGAGGATATATCGAACTTTAAAATTAATAAGCAATATTGTATAAATTTTTATTAATTTATGATTTATTATTAAAATAAAAAAACACTCCTAAAAACCGCTTCGCCCTAGAGGGGGGCCTAAAGCGGGTAATCCATTCGGGCAAAGCGGGTTGGCACTACAATTAAGGGAAAAATGCTTATTTTAGATATTTAAATAATAATTTTAGTTTTATTTAATCAGTCTTCAAAAATTTAAAAGATTAACTTATTAAATATAGCAATACTTCAATATAAATGACTATTAAATCGGTAACTTGTTAATAAATTTTTTTAAAATGACAAATTGTGAAGTCAAAAATTAAAAATAGTAAAAAATGTCGTTGCCGTCCAGGTTGCTTGCTCCGTTTTCCTTTTATATTGACTCCCCACTCAAAAAAATAAGTATAAAACAATATCAGAGCAAAGCGGGTATCAACTCTGCAACCCGCTCTGCCCTACCCGCTTAGCCCAAAAACACGTTTTTTATTCAAGTGATGCTGACTTCAAATAATTCAAAACAAAACATTAATATTTTTCTCTTAATTTTAACTTCAGTAGGCTCAAATTAATAGAAAATTATAAAAGATATAATAAGTGTATTCGTTTTTGAACAATCAGAAAATACACACCTTTAATTGTTTTAAGAAATTATTAATTTTTTTTTAATTTACAAGCGCCTACCCGCTTTGGGCCACCTTCCCCTAAGCATTCAAGGTGCTCATGTTCAGGTCGATAACTTTGGTCATAATTTAAAAATCTCAATAGAAAACTCATTAAACTTATAGATAAAGTATCCGAACACCTTTATAAAAATATTTAATAAAGTAAAATTGAATTCTTTTCAAAAGTTCGATCAATACCTAGCAATGTAATTTTATAATTAAAAGTTATTTAAATAAAACTTTACTGAAGCTGTAAAAAAGCTCTACAAGAAGAGATTGTGAAATATTGTTAATTTTCTAAAATTAATGACATCATCATAAGTATCGTTTGCTTAAAGTGTAATAAACCCTCATACAAAATCATAACAATTACATCACATCGAATTCTAATCAAATCTATACTCTCCCAGGAACAATAATTGAATCCCTAAACCTCTATCAACTTTTGACCTTCAATTAAGACTGGAAACATTGAACCATCGAAAACCGAACCAGTTAACAACTATCGGAGTGCGAGTAGATTTTGACCTTAAGCACGCAACCACAAATGGTATAGCACAGTAACTGACATCGATGCATGTCATTCAATTTCCCCGAGTATATGCATAGTAATTAGCCTACCATTGATCGAATGATGTGGCTTACGAGTTACCTCATCGCTACAGCCCCTTTTTAGCATCAACAACCCCGGACTGATCCATTGATCACCCACACATTGATCCCAAGTTCACTCCAATTAGTGCTCTTTCCATCAAAAGTAATCAAAATTTTCCATTTCGCACCGTTTTAATGTTTGATCATTAACATGGATATCCACGTTCGCCGCTTTATTAGCAGCTGGGTTTAAACCGACACATTAACACACTCGGTGATTCAATACTCCTCAATAGCATTCCCGTGAAGTGGAACGGAGCTAATTAGATCAGACCGAATTTAAAATTTTAGCGCACTTTACATAATGTGGTAAACATTCGATATATTTGCAACGCCTCTGTACTAAAATTTTAATAATTAATTTACTAATAAAAATTGATCCATAATAAATAACTACTGTAACTCTCATTACTACACAAAATAATTCAATTTTCATAACAATCCAAGCTTTTATAGTTAAAATATCAAACATCTCACTTGAGTGACATTGAAATAAAAATTAATGACCAATTTAAAATATCACTTGCTCTAAATTTCTTTACTAACTTTTTACTCTCATAAATATATATTATTGTCAATAACGTTTAAAATTGATTGGTGTTTTTTATATAGCTACCGGTTGATTTCACGTTAAGTATCTTTCGGTATAAAATACAACAAATTTGTTAGTTTAGAGTTGTCAATTTGAACACCCTGTAATCAAGTAATGATTTAAATAATGTCGAGCCGATCTAGCTTTAAAAATTTTAAATATTTATAATTTATTTTTCAAAAATTCGTCACTCATTTCCGTTCTTAAGTAAAATAAAATAAGTCTGTTAATTAACAACGTTTCTATGTAAATTTATTAAAAATTGTGTAGTAATGGGACCGTCACACGGAAAAAAGTAAACTGTAAAATTCACTTGGATTCCGGTTAATTTTTATAGTTTCAAACAGTACAACGGATATCGGGGTGGCAAAAATATTAATATTACAGAACTTAATGTAGAAAGTGTAAAAGCCGCAATTTATAATTTAATATCGAAAATAAGTGATTAGTAGCTGGCACTATAGTAAATAATGACTCTTCATCTTAAAAAATTACAGTTTCAAACAGTAAAAATTGCCGTTTCAATATATAGTCCATTTTATAAGAAGTGAAACTCAGATGAGGAGAAGGGGGTCTCAATCTAGAAGAATTTAACATTTGAAACAGTAAAAATTCTACTCTTAAAATATATATTTTATCAGTCAAAGCAAATTAATAATTATAGTTTCATTTTTAGCGTTGCGTTTAAAATTTACCATTTTATTTTGTAAATATTGACGTTGCTTGTATTGGAAATTTATTAACTGTATTTTATATTTTTTACATATCATACGATCAATTTTTAAGTACAAAGTGATAAATATCAAAGTCAAAATTCTTAATTATTATACTTTAATATTTTTGACATTCACATAGCGAATATTACACGGAAAAAAAATTGAAGGAATTTTTACTATTTCACTATCGTAATTTTTATTAAATTAAATAGTAACGGTGGACTGTACTTCTCATTTAGTAATTTTTACAATCTACTATTGTAAATTTTATCCAACAAGCAAGGCTAGCAAGAAACTTAAAAAGTCGAATAATATAGAGCAAATTATACAATAGGTGTTTGTAAACTTCACAATTCAACTATTGTAAAAATTGACAGTCGGTTTTTTTTAAAGAAATTTTAGAGAGGGAGAGAGATAGGAGGTTGGACTAATTGGTACCAATACAGTAAACGAAAAAAGAAATCGGAATTTTCGTCCTATCCGGGAATCGAACCCAGAACTCTTTGTTGGCAGCCAGAGACTCTCCCTCTACCCTATCCGAGGTAAACTAGTACCCATGTCCTTTCACATTTACATAAACTCGGAGTCTAGCGCTGTGCACGGTCATCGCTCACACTAATTGACAAACATTCCAATTCAACTATTGTAAAATTTGTTATAGTTCTATTGGAAAGATACAGAGGCAGCACTGGAAATTTTAATTCTTACTTTTTACAATAGTAATATCGTATTTTTCTAATCGTAAATTGTAAAATTTCATGAATAAATAGTAAATTTTCTTCTAAAATATTTGAAAATTACTAGTAATAAAAGTATAGTCCAGCTTTACAATAGTTGTATCGTAAATTTTCCCAGAAATTTTTTTCCGTGTACTGTTTGAAATATTAGTACCTATTTTCTTCCTTGTAAAGTATAAATTGTAGCATTTAAATGATAAATACTATAAAGTGATTAGTAAAATCACGATTTTACTGTTTGAAATGGTAATTTTTAGCAGTTGATCATTACTTATTATAAATCGACTATTATTTATTACAGTTTACTTTTTTCCGTGCAGAAGTTGTTTATCCTTTTTATGTCCTAATATATATTGATCACTAATTCACGCTTTCTTTCGTAGATAATCGGAGTGATATCCGTGTTCTTCATCTGCGTGTCAATATTATCATTCTGCCTAAAAACCCATCCGGACATGCGTGTCCCAGTGATAACCACGAACACGATACGGAAGGGGAATCACACAAAGATGCACATCGAGAAGGAGCACACAAACGCCCACGTGGCGTTCTTTTACGTGGAGGCTCTCTGCAATGGGTGGTTCACCATTGAATTTCTGACCCGCATTACAGCGAGTCCAAATCGATGCGAGTTCATAAAGTCGTCGGTGAACTTGATCGACATGATAGCAACACTGAGTTTCTACATCGACCTGGCGCTCCAGAAGTTCGCCTCCCATCTAGAGAACGCGGACATCCTCGAGTTCTTCAGCATAATTCGAATAATGAGACTGTTCAAACTTACGCGACACTCGTCGGGACTAAAAATTCTTATTCAGACGTTCAGAGCGTCTGCTAAGGAACTGACCCTGTTGGTATTCTTCCTAGTCCTCGGCATCGTCATCTTCGCCAGCTTGGTATATTACGCTGAGAGGATACAAACAAACCCACACAACGACTTCAAGAGTATACCTCTGGGTCTTTGGTGGGCCCTAGTCACTATGACCACTGTTGGTTACGGTGACATGTGTCCTAAAACTTACGTGGGAATGTTTGTTGGTGCACTGTGTGCATTGGCGGGAGTCCTTACAATCGCCCTGCCGGTGCCCGTGATCGTTAGCAACTTTGCTATGTATTACAGTCACACGCAGGCGCGAGCCAAGCTGCCCAAGAAGAGGCGTCGAGTATTTCCGGTGGAACAACCTAGGGTGCGTCCTGGAGTACCGGGGGCTGCAGGGCAGGCTGGTGGACACGGGACTGCTTGTAGTCAACAAGCTGCCCTTCTGCCTCCGGGAAGCGGGGGGATCGGGAGTGGGGGAAGCGGGACTATCATTACTCCACAGAACAGGAGGATGAACGCCATCAAGACCAACCATCCTAAGGATCCATTTGCTATTAAAGGTTTGTATCACTTTTACATTACTATCAGTCGGTAATCAAGTCTTACTAATAATCAATACTGCACCCTGATAGCCAGCGCTTTCTCAGTAAGTGTTGACTTCCAGCAGTTACGGTTAATTTATACATCAAGTTGGCGGTAATTCTTCACTCAACAACAGTTGTAAGCAAGTTGACGGAAATCTACGGCCGCAACTTGAATACAAGTTAACAATCAAACTTGTAGTTAAATTTCCTTTCAACTTTACTACAATTTGACGGAAATACTTGTACAGCAAGTTTTGACGTATTTGCAGGGTAAGTTATAGGTAACTCATAGGTAATCGCTCGCTTTGCCAACTCTTTCCGTCAAGTTTGCTTCAAATTGCGGACGAAGATTGACAGTAAGTTATAGGTAAGGTGGCTATCAGGGTAGTTCTATCAGAATTTTTCTGTATCATTTGATTTGATCAAAAACAAAGTTTCCCTGATAGCCAGAGCTTCAGACTAACAAAGTTGGTGTCAGATCGTTGCCATCAACTTAGCGACAACTTGCGGTCAAGTTCCGAATTTGTAATTGTTGGCATCAAGTTGGCTACAAGTTTCTGAGAAAAAAAAGACCAATCTACTGCCGCAATTTGTCGCCCAATTTCTTGAGAAACTTGTCGTCAACTTGATGTGAAAAAGTTTCAGAAGTAGTTTTTGCTGACAACTTGGTGAACAAATTGACACCAACCAAGTTGCGGCAGTAAATTGAGAGAAAGTTGCGACCAACTTGGCTATCAGGGTTCTTTCGTTTTCAATTTGTAAATAAATCTCATTAAGCCAACTTTATTGATACATTATATTCAAACTTAGTATAAATCGGTTACTAGGTTCGCTAGACAGTAAGAAAATTTTACAATCAATTGATCTTCCAGATTTATTGGCTTTCGGTAATATTAGTTTACCAACAGTCTATATTGCAGTCTCACTAAAAGTTTTTTATAATATTTAATTTAATCAAAATGAAAATAATGCAATTATTCGTCAACCTCATCAAGATAGTATAGCACCTTTAGACTTACCATCGATCAGTAACTAGTTCAACTGTCTCATTTCAAAGTACACTAACTGATATTTTTTAGATTTTTTTTTAAATTTTACTTGTACAATAAAGCATTACACTCTAAATGGATAAAAAAATTTAATTTAGGTATAGAAAAATTATCAAAATTGTCCAAATAAACATCAGATTACTTATTAAAAGTACAAATCAGTACCGCAAGAATAGGTCTCATACTTTGGAGTTTTTTATTTTAAAAATGCTCAGTCACTATTAGGATTTTATCATCAACTGATCAAACAGAATTATCGACCATCGGTAATTATGTTTTACTAGCAATTATTACTGCAATCTGATCAGCAATTTTTCGTACTATTTAATACAATTAACATGAAAATCTTTTTGATTTCATTGATACAGAACGTATAGGCGTATCACATTAAATTTTGATAGTCGGTAATAGAATTTTATTATCAATTGATCATGCAAATCTATTGTTCATCTGTAACATTGTGTCACTCGCTGTGAGTACTTAAATTTTCCAAAATATGATAACAGTGACTAATAAAACATACTCTTTGTTTTTTTTACACACAACGATCGGTTAAAAAAACCTTAGTATCAACAAAAGCAATTTAATCGGACAATAATTCCCGACAAATGATATACAGCCTACGGTCATATAAGTGATATTTGAAACCGAGTTTATCCAATATAACCGATAAATATTTTCCAATTAATATTGACATTTTCTATTATAACAAAACCGCACGGTAGCGTTGAACAGCGCTTAATTATAGCCCCAGTACTCTATACTGTAGATATTGCGGAGACTATAAATGTTCCGGGTAACTTTAATCGAGTTCAATATACGTCAAAACAGTGAGTGGACGTCATGTGTCTTTCACAAAATTTACAACCTGCTATTGAAACGGGAAAACTTAATGAGTACATTTTACATAATTCGGGGTAAAAATCTTTATAGGGCACTTAACGGTTAACTTTTGGTACAAGCACTTGTGAAGGTAAAAATAAATGAGATACCGAAAACTGTTGAGGCATAAATTAAATAACAATACGCCGAGTTTTACAAAAGTTTCTACTCGAGGATAAATTATTAACAAAATTAGATTATACATCAAGCAATATCGCGGTGCCTTTAGGGGAAACCCACAAACTCTTATTACACATTTATATCTATATCTATGTATATATACTACTCCCTTAGCTACATACTTTGTAGTACTACTTTACTGTCATTATTTAATCATGACCCGCAAAACCACAACACTCTCTTACTCCACAAATCTCTAGGCTCTTTCTGTCTACTCCCGTGTGAGATCACGATATTCACTTGACCTACGGCAATTAATACTTGTTTAGTTGAATACGCTACAACTACTATCAATTTGTATTCGTTAATCGATTCGTAAATGATTGAAGGCAATTGTCCATCGCAGATCAAGTGTACGAATCAAAGAGTCCTGGAAATTGGAAATTTATGACTTTCGTTGCTCGTTTTGCAATTGAGGACCACTGACTGAACGAAACAAATTATGTTTTTAGTAGATTTCATAGAAATCTAACTATTGCATTTGTCCTGATGGCGGAACTTTCGAAAAATTTTGCTATTTTCTGACTCAGTTCGTCGAGCTGATTCAGAAAATACATATGGTTCAAAATGACTTGTCCGGAGGATAGCGTCTCTAATTCGTAATGGATCTTCTCCAAACTCAACATAGTTAATTTTTAGACGAATACCAAGGTCAAGTTCAAAGATGAGCTTAATTGGTCAATTAGTTCAGAAATTACAAGGTTTCGAAATGTTCAAAATCGTAAAAATTCACCATCTTGCAGTTTCTTTCGCGGATAACTTTTTGATAATATAACATCGAATTTTTGTAAATTGCATTTTAAAGCCCATCATTAAGCGAGCTTTAATTTTCATGCACTGATAAAAAATTTATGTTGACTCAAGAGATATTTTCTTGATCTAAGAATTTATTTTGGAAGATAAATGATTATTTTGCTTTAAGAATTTCTTGTCTTGATTTAGATTTTCTTGGCTTAAGAGCTATATTATCTTCAATCGATACATTTAAGTTTTTCAATCAAAATAACATTATCGTTTAAAAAACTTGAAATAATTCATCAAAGTATATTTCAAAAACTAAATAGTCTTTAATTGTTATACCAAATGAAAATTATTTCTTGGAAATAAGTAAATTAATGACTCAAAAAAAAGCCATTTTTAACACAAGTCGGTAACATCTTGAATCAATGTTATCGCCTATCTTGAACCAAGAGACAAAAATTCTTGAAATAAATATATTTATCTCTAGTTTCAAGAGTTCAAGTTTTGAATAAAAAAAATTTCTTGAATGAAGATTGTTTTTCTATCAGTGTGTCATTTTATTCTCCTCAACTGAAAATAACCTATTCGTTTGAATATGTTCGATGAAATTTTACTATTGCATTCGTTTTAGCTTAGGAAGAAGGGATTCCATCAATGTGATTGAAGTATTTATATTATTAGTGTTGTGATTTTATTTAAGTAGAAAATCTACTTCCATTTCGGCTGCCGAATGGCACTTTTTTTTGCATTAAAGTTGCGTTAGTGTTTGTCGTATTTCCTTGTCAATAAACTAACAAGTCAACTTATGACTAAAAACTATGGACTCATGAATTTATGCGTAATAAAACAAGATAAATATCGCTGACCGGTAATTAACTCGAATTGACAGACCATAATTGATTTTTTATATCAATATTTGGAACTAACGTCAATTATAATCAGTTTTAGTATTCTCTCAAAAATCTTCAAAATTCTAAAAAATTGATCATTACTTTCCCCTAAAAATTTAGCATAAGATCAATTTGAAAAAATATTGTCAGCACTAGATTTTTCTAAATTTTCATCACATATTACATTTTCTGATTTTTATTTGAAAATTATTACTCATTTAGCATATTTAATTAATATGCTCAATAATTAATATTCACATATATTTGACACATACTGTAGCGCTCAGAAGTATTTTGACAACATTATGCGTTAGTTTGTTACAACAATATCAAAATACTTTGGAGCCACCATTTTCCTAATAAGGTAAAAGCCCCAATAGATGCTCATATACCAGTATATGATCACTCCATCATGTATTTGTAAAGTGATTTTATACTGGTATATGAGCATTTATTGGGGCTTTTACCTTATTTTAAAAATTAAACTGTCTTTTGTTACAAACAAGGACCACTTTGACGCTATTCTGTAGATTATTCAAAAGCTGTTAAAAAAATGAGTAAATAATTATTGTATTTCATATTTATTTTTAATTAAACCATTAAATATATTTGTCAAAATACTTTTGAGCGATTCTGTATAAAGTGAGGTTAGGTACAGACTATTGTTGACGTATATTTTCTGAACACTGCGCATGAGCTAGATCGCACAGACTTACGCAGACGAGACTTGAGAGTTGGTATAGTGGGGACAAAAGGACAATTCAAGTACTGGGAAACTCTCGATGTTGGCCGAGCGTTCCAAAGCATTGGTCCGTTCGTACAATTCAAGTGGCAGGACGTGGGTTCGAATCCCCAGTGAGTCAAAAAATTTTTCACATTTTCACACGCTCATATCTTTTGGTTCCTACCGACACAAATCCAAACGTTCGTATGAGAATCATTCTCAGTGCCTATTAAATAATAATAATAATAATAATAATAATAATAATAATAATAATATTTTAATAATAAGTACAGGGAATGCTCCTGTACGGACGAGTCAACTCCAGGGTGCGTCGACTGTAATGCAAGTTTTTTATGATAAACCCGGCTCTCAGGAAAATTTTAGCAATATTACAGAATTCTTTTTGTTTTCTTTATTTTTATGAATATAATTACTATAATAATTGATTATAATAACTTTTGTTCAAGATGACGACAGGCGGAACTCAAATTTGAGGACTAACGGGACCAAATCGTCAAGTGGCTTGGGCTAGTATTGAAATAAAA